TCCCCTCCTCTCCTGCAATGATTTTGCCCTCTATCCTATCTTAGTCACTTGTTCACAGGATCATACCTTAGATCTTGTCACTGCCAATAATCACAACCTTCCCAGAATCTCAATTTCAAACATTCCAATATCCAACCACCAGCTCCTATATTTCTAGCTCTATTACTCTCACCTCCAACTCCAAAATCCCTTTGCCATTGTGCTAACCATTTATTATAATTACTACTCTTCACATTTCTGCACCCACCTCATGTTCTCATTTCCCTCTTTACTTCGTTAAAGTGCAGTGGCCAGACTGTTTGGCTGCTCTCTTTTCTTTCTCTCAATTCATCACACCCTTGCACTTGCTCTAGCATTAATCAAGTCCAGCTTTCTACCTGATATGTGACAAAATCCACAGAGCTAACTGTGCCTGAAGAAAGAACTACCTCTTCTTAAATTCATGAATGTTAATAATCCTAAGTGGGTCACAATCAAAATTCTATTTCCCTAGTCCAGTCACTCTCTTTACTCTCCTAGTGACTATTTCATAGCTTTTGGTCTCTCCTCAAACTTTCAACCTCTCAACCACCTTTGCTTCCCATATCACTAAAGACACAGAGATAATTAGAAGAGAACTTCTACAAGTTCCCACCATCTCCCATCACATCTCCCCACTTATTTATATCTCTGTGCATCCGTTATGCCTCCCTTCTTCCTATGAATAAATTGTACATGTTTCTAGCTAAAGCTACCCGCCTATCTGCACATTAGATTCTACTTTCTCTTACCTATTCATTGGTATCACTTCTTGAATTTTTCCTCTCTTGTGCCATTTTCCCTCTCTATTGAGTCATTCCTATCATCATACAAACATACTGTCATTTTCTTATCATTTGAAAACCTACCTGTCCTGATGTAATGTGCCCCTCTAGATACTATTGCATTTCTTTATTTTATAGGAAGACTCCCTCAAAGATTATCTACACTCACTACCTCTAATTCTCCCCTCCCATTCAGACTTGAACACATTCCAATAAGGCTTTTTGCCCGCAATATTTCATGGAGTGTGCACTTACCAAGGTCAACAATGAATTCAGTGTTATTCAATTCAATGGTCCATTTTCAGTGCTTAGCTTACCTGATTATCCACAGTATTTGACAAAGTAGATTATTCCACTCTTCCTTGAAACACTTTCTAGAAAATTTGGCCTCCAAAAAAAACCATATCCCCCTGATTTCCCTCCTTGCCTCCAGCTACTTCTTTTCAATTTTTCTGTATTCTCCTTCTCTCCCTCACCTCTCTGCATTGGAGTATCCCCAGTTTCAGGATTTGGACCACATGCTCTATCTACACTCACTCCCTTGGTGACCTCGTTAATCCCATGGCTCTGAGTACCATCTACGTACTAATGACTTATGTACCCAGCTCAGACACTCCCTTAAAATCTAGAGACACATACCCAAATACCTACTTATCATCTCTAACTGAATATCCAACAGGTCTCTAAAACTTAACCTGTCTCAAATTTATCTTTTGATTTCCTACCCTTCAACTAAACAAATGACCCCTTGCTCCTCTCATAGTCTTCCTTATTAAAATTAACAGCAACTCTAATTTTCTAATCGCTCAAGCCAAAAAGTGTACAGTCATGGTTGATTCCTTTTTCTTTCTCACATTCTACATCTGATTTATCCCCAAATATTGTCTGTTCTACCATCAAACTTGAATCAAAATCTGATTACTTCACACATCTGCAATGCTGATGTCTGAGTCATCATTTTCAAAATAGTGTACTATCAGGCACCTAAGTCTCCAACCGCTCAGGGTATTCTCAACATCATCCCATTGAAAGGTAAGTTAGGGCATGTTGCCCCATGTGCAAAGTCCTCCAGTGGCCTTGTAATAACAAGAGGCCACACGACCTAGCTCTCACCATTATCATGTGACTTCACCTCTACCATCTTTCTCTTCCTGTCTCTACTCTAGCTGCTCTGACTCCCTCTTCACAGATCTTCAACAGGAACACGCCTGCCCTGGGCACTTAGCCCTGGCTGTCTGCTCCTTTCCTCATTAGACACATGGTTCAACCCTTTATTGCCATCCCATCTTTACTCAAAAGTCACCTTCTCAGGGAGTTAGTTCTTCCTTGACGCCCTGTTCCCAAATTACAACACTTCAACATTCCCTATTCTTTTTTAGTATTTTATTTTTCTCCTTGGCCTTTATAACTACCTAAAATTCTGCAAATTTTCCTTATTTATCTTGTTTAGTGTATCCTTCACTATCATGTAAATTCCATAAGGGCAGAAATTTTCAGAAGAAAATTTTAGAAATAAAAAGTAAATAATTGAAATGACACACTTAAAATCTATATTAAAGTGACAATTATTTTTCATAGAACAACACTATATCAACAAAAGAGATATGCTTCATGGTTCATTTTATGAGTCTAGCATAAATCTGATACCCAAACCAGCAATGATGGTAAGAAAAACAGACAAATTTTGTCCATGAAAATAGATATAGACATCCTAAACAACATTATCAAACAAAATCCAGCAATGTATAAAAAATACCATAGCCAATATATACAATGAAATTCCAGTTATATAAATTTTAAAATTAGAGAATGCTAGCAATACAAGTATTCTTCATTATCCAAATCTATTTGGTACCTGTTATGGTCTGAATGTTTGTATCTCCCGAAGCTTTATATGTTGAAATCCAGTCCCCAGTGTGAGGGCATTAGGATGCGGGGCCTTTGGGAGGTACTTTATGAAGGAAGCCCCCTCATGAATGGTGTTATTTCCCTCATACAAAGAGGCCAGAGAACTATCTAGCTATCTTTCTACCAGGTGAGGAAACTATCAGAAGTTGGCAGTCTGCAGCCTGGGAAAGGCCCTCACCAGAACCCATGATGGCACCCTGACCTCAGACTTCCAATCTCCAGAACTGTGAGAAATAAATTTCTGTTTTTTATAAGCTACCCAGCCCATGGCATTTTGCTGCCGCAGCCTGAGCCAACTTAAGGCAGTGCCTGAATTCAAGCCCTGACAGTCCGGATAATGAGTTGGGATATTTATAGGTATTCCAACTGAGTCTATTTATTTCTTAAGTTAACATATAGTAATATTGACTCTTCTTGTGTGTACTATTCCATGAGTTTTGACCCATATATAGATTCATGTTACCACCACAATATAGAACAGTTCTATGACCTCATAAAACTCCCCTGTGCTATCCTTTGTAGTCATACTCTCTCCATAACTGCCAAACGCTGGAAACCATGATCTGGTCTCCATCACTATTACTTTGTATGTTTTAGAAGGTCATCTAAAGGAAACTACACAGTATGTAACTTTTAGAGACTGGCTTCTTTCACTCAGAAAAAAATTACTTTGAGATTAATCCAAGTTGCTGTGTCAATAGTTTACTCCTTTTTATTGCTTAGTAGGGATAGACCACAGTTTGTTTATCCATTTAACCACTGAAGGGCATTTGAGTTGTTTCCAGTCTTTGGAAATTATAAATAAAGTTGCTATAAACACTTATGTACAAGTTTTTGTGTGAACACAAGTATTTATTTCTCTTGAGTAAATACCTACCAGTGGGATTGCCGGCTCATATGGCAAGCATATGTTTAACTTTATAAGAAACTGCCAAAGAATTCCCCAAAGTAACTGTAGCATTTTGCATTCTCATCAGCAATATGTGAGAATTCCACTTGCGTCACATCCTCACCAGCACTTGGTATTGTCAGTATGTTTTATTTTAGCCATTCTTTTTTTTTTTCTCATTCACAAAATCTTTAAAAAAGCACATACATTGTAAAAATGCTATTTCTAAAGAGAAATAAACAAGTTAAGAAATTTAACAAAAAAAAAGCAAAACAAAAATAAGATGTGCAAGGTCTACGTAGTAATACAGCTGGCTATGCGGGTGGTATCTTTCTATGTACCCAACATGGGTTAAGCTTATGAGATCATTAATTGAAAAATCATTCAGCACAGGCAACTTTTACCCTCTCTAGCCTATGTCGCTAAAACCAGAAATGATGGTATTTCTAATTGTTATATGAGAAGCATATTGGAACTCTTAACATCTTTTCCAAACAGAAAACTAAATTTAAAAACTTAACACTCAAAAAAGCTCTTCTACTTACCTTTGGATAGATTTTTACCTAGTTTATAGGTGTATAGTGGAAACTAAGTATTTTTGGCTCCTGAATTTTAAACAGCATATAATCAGATTTTGAGAATTGTATCTTAATTTATCTGGTTATTGGCTTGGATAGCAAAGGATCCATACCTATGCAGCAAAGCTATGAAGGAAAACAATGAATTGATTGGCATAAAAGTAGATAGTGGTTAGGGAGATGGATGCAAACTAGTAGGTAACAAGGGGACTCTAAGATATTGATAATATGTTACTTATAAGGCAAGATGGTAGATACATAGGATGTATTTTATTATTCTTGAAACTATACCCAGGTGTTTACTATATTTCATAGTAAGACACTTAAAAGAAATATGTTTCAGCCCAAAACACAAAAAAAGCAATGCAGAAAAGATGGTATAACTTCTCTTTGAGGAGTTCAAGTACACTGAGTTAAAAGAAACTACAAATAAAAGCGTTTTGTAGAATTTGAACATGACGCTTTGTTAAAACTTTTTCTCGAAAACCTGTTTAAACTTAATTTCTTGAATATTTCAGTGCTTATGTATATCACACAGGCCAAACTGCTAACGGGCCAGTTTACTGATGGGCTTGTTTATTCCCAGGGGCCTCAATCTATATGCACTCAAAGGGCTGGTCATGGTAAAGCAATTCTGAATGGTTGGCAAAGAGTAGCTTCTTCCTAGAAATCAAGACCAGGATGGGACCGGAGTCAAGAAACACACTGAACATTTCATTTTGACAACTCGCAGATGTTTAGACACCCCTCAGGACACAATCTGGACTACAGAACTCTTTTAGTAGTCTGGTTGTCAACAATACCTTGTAAGAAGTCCGTTACCTGTGACAACACTGGGGATTTTGGAGAGGAAGCTCTTGACTGTTCTGATGGGCACACCCCCCGTCTTGTCATCTTGCATCTTTGTAATGATGTCTTCAATCTGAAAGAGGTTAAACAAAAGAAATATTATTTCCTTCCACAAGATAACAATAAATGGTACCATTATAAATAGCCCAAATGTGTAAATACGGATGCCAACAATAGATGGCAGGACAAGCCCACACCTAGTTGGTCAATAAATATCAGTATTTGCTATGTAGCACACGCTGGGTGTGGGGAGTCCCAAAGCTACTATAAAAGAGTGTAGGATATGTTCTAGGAGAATAACCCCCCAGTTCAACAAGGTAAGGAGGAAGAAATACATCAGAATTCTCGATGAGATCCAACACACAATTCAATATGTATGTGATATGCTTCCTCCTCTTTCCCACACTGGGTTTATGTATAGGTTGAACCATGGGAAACTGCCATCTTCAACCTCCCCATGGCAATTCCCTATGGTTTAACCTAAGATGTTAATGTAGATTAACATACTGCTATTAGGAATTGCAGGCAGAGCTGCCTTTGGGAACAGAGAAAGACACAGCCAGAGTCACATGAGAGAAAAACAGGACCGTGAATCAGGACGTGGCAAGCCCTGGTCTAGAGAAGTTGGAAAACAGGTCTCAGTGGTTGTGGGTGGTGGCCTGGTGGCCTGTGGATGGTCACCTGGGCCAGGACTAAGGATCCTCTCCTTCTGGGCTAAATGAGACCACACTGTCGGGAGAAAGACCATGGTGGATTGTGACCTAGATCCACATGACATCTTATTGGTGAAAAATAGAGAAGAGATTGGGGATGTACTGACGAGAATGTAGGTGCCTAAACTGGGAAGCCAGTTTGTAGCTATGAATTTACAAGCTGGGTGTAATTTCCTGGGCAGATATCTTCAGAATAAGATATAGAAAAAAGTCTGTAACAAGGACACATATCTTTTTGTTTGGGGAGGGGAGAAAAACTGAAGAAGAAGGGGAAATAATGTTTACTATTATCATATATTTTGTTCCTCTAACCAATAGCAGCAATAGCTTTGAAACACCAAGATAGATTCTCTGAATGATTCCTTAATAGAGTCACATAATCTTAAGGCTAGAAATTTAAGCTGTAGCTCATGTAGTCTAACATACCACTATTGCAATTTGAGGTTAAGTGATTTTCTCAAAGATGAATAACTAATAACTTGTTTGATAGAAATAGATAACTTGTTAGAGACAAAGTTAGAACTTGGCATAATATCATCCTCATCATTATTATGAATAGCCAACGTGTATCCAAAAATATATTATGCACTAGATACTAGGCTAAATATTAGACAGTATCCTGTTTAATTTTCATAATTATTTCATAAAATAGATTCCACTATTATCCTCGTTTTTTTCAGATAAAGAAACTAAGATTTAGTGAAGTGCATCAATCAAGGTAGAGTGGGTTAAGTTGTGGTAGCAAGTAATCCCCAAAATGTGACTGGTTAGCACAACCAAGTTTATTTTTCTCTCATGCCATCTGTCTAGCGCAGATCAGCAGGGGGACACTGCTCATTGTAGTTACTCTAGGGCCAGGGCTGATGGATCAGTCACCATCTTCAATGTTGCCGGTCACAGAGCCAGAGGGGCAAGAGAGAATTCTAGACAGCATCTCAGTGGATATTAAACGATATAGCCCAGAAGTTCCATATAACATGCTTGCTCACAATTCTTTGGCCAGAACAAGCCACATAGTAGCACTCAACCACAAAGGAGCCAGGGGGGCTCAGTCCTCTGGGTGCCAGGAAGAGAGTGGAACTGAACATCTGTGATCAACATCAGTGATGACTGAAGCAGGTAAGCAACCTTCATGACCTTCATAGGATCTCACACCTATCCAGTTGTGCAGCCAAGACTGAAGTCAGCCGCGGACCCCAGAGCTCAGGCTTCTCACCCCTGAGCCATCCTACCTCCCAGTAAGATTCTCAGAAAACCAACCAAGCAGGGAGACCATTCTCACCTGTATATTTCTGGGTTTCCCTGAGAAGGACTGAGAGTGAGAAGGAATCAGGCAGTAGATGAGGGTATCAAGCTAGAAGGAAGGGTCATTCCCTAAAGACTTGAGTCTGTTAAACAACCATTGAAGAAGGATCTTCATCCACATTCATGTTAATAATACTCTCAGCTATTGCCAGCCTTCTGTCTCCTAAACTCAACACAAACATTTGGAATAGTTTGAATATTACTAATTGATAGCCAAAGAGAGATAGTCTTAGAAAAATGGTCACATTTTCAAAGTTATCTATGCTTTTGATTTAATGTATTATTTGAAACTTGAAGCATCAGTGATATTGATGGTTTCTAAGAAAATGGCCAGAAAATCATTGACAATTGGAGTGAAGGCAATAATTCAGTTCAGTTACACCCCAGACTGGACATGGGATGGTAACAATTTCCAGCCTCTGAGGCTATGGGCTGGATTTTAAGGGTTGGTGCCACGATGCCTTTCTCCTCTGCTCAGGGTATTTTCTTCATCACACGATTGAACCTTAAAGGGTCTTATTTATTAAAGAGAAAGTCTTGTCTTCTTATGTTATCCTGCAATGTACCAACAAAGTATATCACTCATCAGGATTACAGCCAGATCAAAAGCTCAATCCCCACAACTGACCAGAAAGGGGACTGCACTTCAGCAGTAGTTTACAACATCACAGGCGTGGAAGGATGAATTATTGGCCCCCAAGTCCTGACTTCTCCATCGTATGAATCCTTGCCTTGGCCGCATGGTGGGCAGAGAGTCTACCCATTGGCACTGGGGCTTGGCCATATGACTTGCCTGGCTACTGGGGTGTTATTGAATGTGATGTGAGCAAAGGCTTGCAATGCACCTGCATGGTTGTGCTCACTCTCTTCTCTTGCCCTCTTGCCTTTTCCATGAGAAGGCCTTGTCTCAGACAGTTGTTATTCCAAGGAATATGAGAGACATCTGGAGCAAATGGTACTAAACCCATAGCCAGATCAGCCACAGCTCAGCTGACCTGTAGACTCATGAGCAAGAAATGCTTATTGGTGTGTGCCGCTAAGTTTGGGGTGACTTGCTCTACAGCAAAATTAAGATATTACAGGGCTCTGAAAAAAATGCATTTATCAAAAATTGCTGAAGTTACAACAAATACTTGACAATCAGAGTCAGTGAATCTTAGAATTGGGGTATCTTTGAATCTAACCCTTTTGAAGAATGCAGAAATTCAATTACACCATCTGCTATCTATTAAAAACTCTTAGGAGCTACACTACTTTAGGTAGCCCATTCCACTGTTGTGCCAGATACATTTTCAATAACTGTGTTTGATTCTTGAGCATAGTCTGCTACAATATCAGCTAATAATACTCTCTCTGAAATTCTTTGTCATGGTTTCTGGAGAATTCCCAGGAGTACAGACCCAATAAAAATTACAAGTGGGCTCTCAGGAGCTGATAAAAATAGTGACAAGCATTTTCAGAACATCTATTTTATGATCAATATTCCTCTAGGTATTTTAATTATTTAACTTATTCCTCAGACTTAAAAGTTATTTAGTGCAGATGTTGAAATTGAGGCTCAGAAAGGTTATGTGATTTATCCAAGGTCCCATAGCTAGTAAGCGGCAAAGCCACGATTCTTACCCTAGTCTTAATGCCTCCAATGTACAGCCCTGTTTGTCAGGTCTAAAGCTCATCTTCTATGTCTCAGATATTCAGAAAAATGTGACTACAATCCTTCTCTGAGTTGTGTGGCTACTAGGGTTAGCAATGGGGGAAGATCCTGGAAAGGTAGTTATGGGAGGCATGAACCCAGTGAGTGCCCCAGAGCTGGCTGATCTCTGTCGTGTGACCTTTCCCAGTGCCACATACCAAGGTTGGTGCTTTGTTTGCTGCGGATCTCAGGTCACTTTCCAGAAGAGCCTGGGGTCACCCCTTAGACTACATGACCCATTAAATCTTGAGCTGAATGTGGCACCCAAAGAGAGCTCTCGGTCCCAGTGCCACCTACTGGACTCCAAACATTAACTTTCCCACTTCTAGTATTTTGCCTTTAAAAAAGGGCACCTCTTTACCCTCTATGGCCTTAGCAGTTGATCGCAAGTGCAGAACAGAGGCATATATATGCAGCCTCTCATCTTCCTCCTTAGGTTCAAACCTTTTTTTAGGCAAGGGCTGCGCCTGGGATTTCATTTCCATTTTCTTAGCTAACATTTGTGGAGTATTTACTCTGGGCCAGACACACAAACCTGTTTAAATTTGACAGGAGGTAGATGCTTATATCCCTTGTCGTAGACAGGGGAACTGAGACTCACGCTGGTACCCTCCACCAGGGCCTGCTGACATCCTTTCCAGGCACTTTGAGACCCTTAATAAATACCATTTGCATGGGAGGGAAAGTTTATCGCATTCTTAAAGGGCTGGCAGAGGATGCAGAGATATCAGTCCAAATAATCTGATTCTCAACTGTCTCAGGATTTATTTCTGTCGATGACTGCCGCTGTCTTGCTGCTCAGGGGTCTCTCTTTGTTCCATGGGTTTGGTTAGATTTGTCTTCCACTGGCAGATCACAGCTCCTGGGGTGAGGATGGGGAGATGGGAAGGTATATTCTTATGATTCCTGACTAGTCAGTTCCTTCTAACATCTGACACCTTTTGTTCCTAAGGAAGAGCAAAACCAATTCCCTAACATCCTTTAACAGGAAGCTCTGTGTCATTAGGGAGGATGTGTGGCCTTAAGTGCCAATCAATCAGCAGGTGGCCCTTATCTGACAGCCAAGTGGTGCAGAGAAACCACTTTGCCAGTGCTGCCAGTTCTGCCTGGATGGGCCACAACAACCGGGATGCTCCTCTCCAAGGAGCTCAGAGCTCAGCACTGACGCTCAGGTAAAGCATTCTTCCAGACAGCAGGAAGATGGAAACCGTTACACTATGGAGCGGGCTTTCTTTTAAATAAGAAGTATTATTTAAAAAGTATACACAATTCTCTGCAGTAGCCCCAGAGTGTGAGAGGGGAGTAAGGAGAAGCAATCCTCTCTTTATGAACCAAAGACACAGCGGGACAGTAGGAAGAACC